CGAGCTGCACGAGCGCCGGGCTTACCTGCCCGCCAGCAAGGGCGGTTACAAGAAGCCCTCCAACTAAGGACCAGAGTCAGCCAGTTCGCGTGTGTCGGCGTCACGGGCTCAATTTAGCTGTTATTTTAATAGCAAATAAAAGTAAATTGATCTCTTATCTCAAATGATTTTTATAATAAATCATTTATCCGTTAGTATTACAAACAATGGCAGCAGCAGGGAAGGCGACGGTGGAGTATGAGGTGAATCTGCGCGTGAAGAAGCAGGTGGAGGGTCCCTTCCTCGAGTGGCTTCGTGCCCACATGCGCGACATGGTGGAGACCACGCGCTGCTTCGTCTCGGCGCGGCTCTACAGCCAGGAGGCCTCGAGGGGGACAACGAGGCCACCAGCGATGACGCGGCTGACTACGTGCGCTACGTGGCGCTCTACGGGTGCGCTGACCGTGCCGCCCTCCAGCACTACTTCGACCACCACGCCCCGGCCATGCGTGCCGACGGCCTCCAGCGCTTCCCCAACCAATTCGCAGCCACGCGCCGCATCCTCCATCTCCAGTAGAGCAAGCAATAAAGAAGAGCACACGGCCTGGCTCTCTCATCAACCACAGGACACCGCCTCAGGAATTTCACCGGCTCGCGTGGCCCAATGGAAAGGCGTCCGCCTCCTAAGCGGAAGATTGTGGGTTCGATCCCCACCGTGAGCGAGCTAAACCTTTTTGTAGGTTTTAGGACTATTAACATTGCGTTACTGGGAGAGAGTAGCGGCTCCTCAATTCCATCGCTGGGAGTGTTGTAGCTCTTAGATGCTTTTTGGCAACGTTCATCTTGCAGATTAAAGATGACCATGCCCACCTTCCATCCAGCCTTCTGGACGAACGAAGCATGAAGAAAGCACAAAAGAAAAGAAAACGCTTTTTTCTTTCTTTTGTTTTTGGAGCGATGCAAGGAGGTGGTTTTCTTCCTGGTGGTGGTCCTGGCAGACTGCCCTTCCGCCCTCACGACCCCTCGTTTGGTGCCCCGCCGTATGCTCCGCCCTTCTCCTTTTGCTGATTGTTTTTATTATTTATTCTTAATTTGTAAGAAATCACAATATCAGTGGGCACGGCTGGCCTCCCGGCGCGGGCGCTCCACACCACCCTGGCCTGCCCTTTGCACCGTCTCCCTATGGTGGCCCTCCCCTCGCTTGGTGCGGCGTGCGCGCTGTAGTGCAGTGTTTTTTGATTCAAAACAAGATTCCCTACTC